GATCTCAGCCTCCGATTGAGTCTCTAAAGTAACTGGCCATGGCTCAGCCTGCAACACCTGAGTAGGAAGAGGTCTGGAAACAAGGGATCAGCTGAAATGAGCTTGAAAGTGCTCCACCCAACGAATCCATACGGCGCTCCTTATTGTTATTCAGAGCGAACGCGCTGTCTGAATTTTAGTGACACTTGGTTTTCTGGAACCAGTGGTGCGGATAAGTTGGAAGAGTTTGTGATAATTGTCTACTGCTTCTGACTCTTCCATTTCTTGAACCCGACCAGTCCACCAGGCTTCCTTGTCAGCACTCAGGCTCGCGTCTAATAGTCCGTCTAATCGCATTGCACCCAGAATCATAGGCGTTTTGTTTTGAATAACAACAAGTTCACCGACCTCTCGGATATCCAGTGACTGGTACGGTGACAACTGATAGTACCACAAGCAGAATCTCCTGCGTCGTGTATGGCGGTCGAGGTCCTATTTCACTGAAGCACAGCGCCAGTAGGACAAGAGAGTTAAAGTTCGGTACGTAGGGAACGCTGATAGGCCTGCCTGATCAAGGGTTAAAGGAAGTTCTCAGTTACCAATAGAGGGATACGCTTGATAAGTCTCCCGATAAAGTTAATAGAAAAATGACAGCATACCAAGGCATGGCCAGAGCCGACGCAAGGGTTCCAGATCGACCGGCAATCCAGAATGGAACCGCGCCATCTGTAGTCTGTGGTAAAGTAAACAATTCTGGTCCATTGCTGGCCAGATACGGGAGGACCCAAGTGGCACTTCTGCGCCCACTGTGTCTAAAAGTGGTGATACAAAGAAACAACAGATGCTCCGCGCACAGCTGCAACAGACGCTCGCCGTTGTCAGTCCGTTCGGAGTTAAGCCCATATTTACCATCTAGCTGAGCTTCCAAGAGCCCAGGCGACATGTACTAGTAGTAGCACATGGTAGAGGCACGCTCAGTTCGTGTTCTTGCCAGCATCAGGACTGCAGTCAATGGGGGCATAAGTGGAAAACATAAACAAACAGCGCATATTAGTTATTCGTGAATAATTTCCATTGACGTCACCAAACAAGCTGCACACAAATGGCTGCTCGCGGGAATCTTAGAACCCAGGACGACTCAGCCTAGGAACGATGCACCCACCATCTTGACTAGTGATTGCAGAACCAGCGTCTCGGGATGCGTGCAACCAATAGCGAGAGGACAAGACGGGCGCAGTTGATTCAACAACATCACTAGGGTCATTGATCCTTATTTCAGACGCGCAACACATCACAATGCATAGCGGGTTCAATGTGTATGCGAGTGTGGCCTGTTGACCTATTTGTCTTAGGGTGCGAACGTTGAATGCTGTCAGGTAAACGGGACTGCGTGGCCCTAAAAGGGACCGTTGCAATAAGGCGGCTGCAGATGGTATGACTGCAGTGACACTTCGGTTGTTGTCAATTAAGCTGGGAATTATAGAAGGTAGGTTAGTAATGGGCCTTGGGAGGGTAGTAAGAGAGACAGGTCGAAAACAAAGAAGGGATGTGCCAGCAGTAGCATGGATTCATTTATCCGCCTTGCTGTATGCAGCAGATAAGGCGACCCTTGATAATCTGCACGACGGCCGTTACGGGATGTGGTTGAAGTTTGAGGAAATAGTCATGGTTGTACATGGGCTGAGATACTGCCAGGATGTCCAGATCTAGACAGGAAGACGATTAGGGTCCTCAAGCAAAGCCTGTCCGCAAGGCAGCGGAGAGGTGGCAATGATTTGGCTTTACAGAAATCGACATCATCCCAGTCCTACTATAGCTTCTACGATAATGAAACTTACGATATACTACAATGCACTGGTAAAAACGAAAACACGTAGTTCTTTAGACTAGGATTCATTTCCTCCTTTCCAATCACTTCGTCGCTTTCGTGTTATACCAAGGACTTTAGATGGTTCGTCATCCTGGTCCCATTATCAGTCAAGGTTGCGTCTACATCATACCGTCGAGAGTATAAAGATTGACAGAGGTGTACACTTGAGTAAAGTTCGGCCGTCACGGTCATTGAGACCACGCGAGATGCAGGGGTGCCCTCTGAGTTGTACGAAATAAATCAATACTGCACTCAACGAGAGGTTACATCACTGTGGTGATTAAGAGTGGAAGCCGTTTAGATTGGGAATGCGATGACGGCTTGTTGATTGACGTCTCCAACGCTGAGCTATCACACTCTACCTGCGGCGCAGATTTCCTATGGGTTTCGGAGTGCCCGATTTTTATGCTGTGTTGGGAGTAAGTCAAATAGATAGCAAGTGGTTGCCAACCGCATAAACTCACGCGCATGTCCGGTAGCGCACAAATATACAACAATTGCCACTCCAAGGGTAAACACCGGCCGATGGACAGCGGTGTAGAGGGCAGCCAGCCAGGTGGGCAAAGCAGCTTGACGACCGCTAGTCACGCCGTACAGACCGTACACTGTGGACAGACAAAACACAGAGGCTGAGGCCAAAGCGATGAGCACCACAGTGCGATGGGCTCGACAAGTTAGGATCTGAAAAGAAATAGGATGCACTCAAAATGAACCTAATTAGAAGGTGGGCAGAGGGCACAACATAGTTAACATACAGGTGGGCAATAAAATGGACAAACTACTGCATCAGCACAAAGTCTTCATCCGTGTAAGATGACCAAAAATCGCAAGGCTACTGGGGGGAGAGGACAAAGAGACGGGTGGCAGCGATGAATGAAGGCGAGTGGATCAAACGGTCGCTGTCTACGAGATCATAGCAACCAACCGTTGCACCGATGAATCAAATCTGCGATTCACTTTCCAATAAAGCTCCAGAAAATTCGGTAGCATACCAAGGCATGATCATGATTATGGGAAGCGCTTTAAAACCAATGACAGTTGAGAATGAAAACATGTCAATTGAAGACTATGTCAATGTGGTGAATTTGGATCCGTTATTGGCCAAATGTTCGAGAACAGCAAGCAGTACATCAGCACTCATTGCGTTTGAGGATAGCAACTTTTGGAAAATGCAGTAAACAGTCATCATTGCTCATGTGTCATACATAAGTTATACATGAACTCACATGCCAAACTCCTGATAATATTGTCGAAGCGCTAACACTGCATAACACTGTATAAGCTGGTAGAAGAAAGCGTTTTGAATGCATAACGACATTAGTCGGGAAGTATAGGAAAGTAACGCTCAACAACGTATCATGCACTAATCACAACGGACCTCGTGAAAGGGGTTGCATCGGAGGCGGATGTCCTTGGGAATCCAATCAACCCGCGATGACTCTTTTCGGGAAGTCAGTAACTCCAAAAATAACCTAATTTTCCAAAATTTCTCAAGGAGATTCACCAAAATTTTAAATTCCACGCCAGTATTGTCTTGTGTCACGTAGAAAAAATACCGTTCTGCTTGACTCGCTGCTGAGTGCGTTTTGCACTACCGTATTTCGGACGCTCAAGTCTTGCTCCACTAACAAACTACTCTCCGGATTCTCGTGGCTTAGAGTGAAGTGGTAAAAGTCATCCAAGAGTTGAATTCCGAGAACGGAGCCCACCAGCACTACCGGATAAATGAAGCTGAGAGCGAGAGAATAGGTTGGATGTAGTTAGTTCGATAACTACGTGAGAGGTTCTGTAGTCACAGAGACAGCTATATCCACACGACAAATACTCGGAGCAGCCGGGGGCACGAGGATGGAACCGACCCAGAGAGTCCGAATACCCATCACAATATTTCATAGTTATAGCGACGAGCACAGAATGTGGGCGTAGCGCAAAGCACGAGGAAAGAAGTGCGTTTGGTTAACGATTGACTCGTGTGTAGCCGGTGCATGCTAATCGCTTACGCAGAACAGTAGGTGAAGTACAGGCCGTTTGGTGTGGGACCATGCTGTGAGCCTAGCAAGTTTAAAAAACCTATACATCCTAGTCGCTATCAAGAGCGACTTGCGGTCTCATGTAGATAGTAAGAGTTGGCAGTGCCACATGGACAAGTGCCTTATCATCAATACTCACATCTGTCGAAGTTGAAATGATCAAACTAACAAGGGACAAAAGCCAGATGTGTGCGACAATATATGCTCAAACGATCAAGTATGACGAGAACGCATCGACAAGACGCATCACGCATCCAATTTGACCATCTGAGTGACGGGGCTAAGGCATTCCGCCCAGACGAGACGGATGAGATGCGCTAGAAGCAGCAAGCGTAAGTTTATGTCATCGAGAAGACAGGATGGTGGTGGTGCATGAATCGTGGTATTCCGAGTCTGCCGTTGCATTGTGTCAATGAATAAAGACCAACAACGGGTCGAGAGCAGGGTTTGAGTACTAGCCACGTGAGCAGCAAATTCTGACATGAGATTTTTAACAAAATTACTGGAAATAGAAATGCAGATAGATACAAGTGGGCGTATGCGCAACCAGGCGATGACCAGATGAACTCATTGTGATCAAAGAAAGGGGCTTGATAAGAAGAACAAAAGGAAACATGGGCAATCGTAACGCATAGAGAATGGACACAATTTTAAATAAGCGCGATTTCCACGTATTTGGAAATAAGATATCGAAGATGTTGTTTGAGGCTGTGTGGTCCCGGTCGAGCAGATGTGACAAGATCGAGCTGTTGGGAGGCTTTGTCTCATTTTGCGAACATGAAATCATGTGGCGGTCGAGAACCAGCTTCGGGTTTTAGGAGCACGTAAAACAATAAACAAGAGTTAGCGGTGGCCGTTTATTAAAAAAACGTTCAGCTTGTTACTAACGTAGTGTACTAATCTCCAACAAGTCGCGGAGTACGCTGTCTTGATTGCGTTCCTTGAGTTCCGGTACGAATTACCAGCAGCTCAACCACTTGTTAACGGCATAGGCACATAGGGCGAATGGTGATAGTTCAAGAACTGGAAACGCAAGTCAACCCGGAGGCCAACTGGAGGTTAGCACAGCAAAATCTCATAAGCATTGGTGAGAATCGATCCGGACAACGATTCTGAGTTTCCAACCTGGGACATCACTTAAAGAAACAAAAGTGTGGATCACATCAACGGAGAGTCATGCAACAATTGTATTGTATCGTTGGCATGTCTAATAGATTTTTAGTGAAGCACATGACACAACGTTCTTCCGTAAGCAATTTAATTAGGCATTTTCGGTTATTTTTTACAAGTTCCTCCAAATAGTCAGTTGGACACGAAAGTTCGTTTGTAACGATCGGAAGAGAAAAAGATCTAAACGTGAAAAGAGAAAGTGGAATAAACTCACAATGGAGACATGAAATCATTAGGTTACATGAAGCTTACCGCCAAAGGCCGAGGACGCGCAGCCAAGAGCCAGCCGAAGAAGAGGCCGATTGCGTAACTTCCCCATCGGGTATAAGGCTTTATGACAATGTCTTGAAAGGATGCTCTAAGGAGTTTCCGAAAAAATACAGGTTTCACGTTATGCAAAGAAGATAAACAGTTGCTACAAAAAGCGCGATAAATACGCGTACAAGAGCCCGGAAAGATAGTACAAACAAGACGACGTATTCTATTGAGCATAGAGCGCTTTGAGCGCGGGACAAATTTGTTGATACCAAGCATGAAATGTGTCAGGTGTAGCATCGAGGCATGAAGAAACCGAGCAGTGAAATACGACGGATAGAATAAAATAGTTACCTGTTTATAGAAGAGAGTCCTCATCTGCCCTAACAACAGTAATGCGCCAAAATTCATCGAGAAAAGAAATGGTGGGTAGGGCGAAACTTGCTTTTAATGAATGAATTTTTAAGCACGGAATTCAATTTAGGGCCAGATTACCGAGAACAGTGAGATCCTCCACTAATAGGTTCGGAAATCACAAAAATCTGATTCTCAAAAATGTGGCTCACATGGGAGTCAACTGTTACTCACGCTAAGGTAATCAGAAGTGTAAGTGACGGCGGCGCATCATAGCATCTGGACACCGGTCACAGGAGTGCTTAGGTCAGGGGAGAATAGGTCAAAACGATGTGAAGTATTTGAAGAGTCTTGCCGTTAATGCAATAAACTGTTGCAGATACACTTGGATGCACGTCGAAACCACATCGTATTG